TAGTCACCAGTGTAATTATAGGTGGTTGATTCCGTTGTTAGATTTGTGAAATTACTGTCAGGTGTAGTATTACTAGTAACATTCGCCATGTTCCTTTGGTACACGTACTTTCACTGTGCGTAGTTCACATACCTATATAATATATATATATCTTTATATATATATTATATATATATATATATATATATATATATATATATATATATAATATAGCTGCGAAGATGTCGCATTGTGTTTGGTGCAGAGTACGTCATGTGCCATGAAACATAAACCAATATTGCCTATTGCGAAACCATTCCTGCTGAGCAGTGCTGCCATCTAGCATAAGTCCTGTTTCTCCTCACCGATGGCTTGTCGAAAAAGAAGGTTTTTTCTACCAGTGTATGAAGACAATACACACGATGCGGCAAAATCGTAAAACAAAACAATGATTGCCTGGTTGCTAGAGAGGAGAAATATTATGTTTAAAGTGACGCTTGAGTTCATGTTTATTAATTTATTACGCGTAATAAATCGAAGAAAAACGAAGGCTTGTACATCGGTATTGTCTTGTCATACAGCTCGCAATCGGTCCTAGTAACAGTATCATTCTGATTTCTCCTGAGTACCCCTGATTTTGCAGTGACCATGGTGTCTTGTAGATCTCGAAAATCAGTATTATTCTCGACTTTCGGTAACAGCCAAGATTGCTTTATTCTGCCTACAAATCTCTATATTTTTCTTGCAGCCATGCAATAATAGCATAATGTGTGCGTGCGTGCCTCGTAACGTGCGTGCGTGCGTGCGTCAGTTTGCGCGTCCGTGCGTGCGTCAGTGTGGGCGCCCGTGTGTGCGCGTGGGCGCGTGTCTGCGTCCGTGTCCCCTCATTCCCTTCCCTATCCGAGTTTTATCCTCTTTATTCCTCGTCTCGCTCTCTCGATCCAGAGCCTTTCGCTCTAACAGTTTCTGTAGCTGCTTCTGTATTGTCAGTAAAAGAAATGCGAGACAGGAATAAATAAGTTAAATGAGGGAGATGGAGGTAGTGAAGGAAGAAATGCAACAACTAAGGATTGACCGACCAAGTAGCGTCACACAATGCGAGAACGGTTAATGTAGGGAAACAAGATTAAACCATTTTAATTATCTGGCAACCGGGATTTACCGGATCCTATTTCTCGTGATTCAGGAATAGAAGTGAACTTAAGACGCAGGAAATCCGAAATTGCGATTTTAATTAATTAGAAACTGAGGAATTTTTACCTAAGACACTCGTAATGGATATCGTGTTTCCCCTCCAATACAAATAAGATCTATCGGATACATCTCCATGCGCGTACCCGTCCTTAATGATGTCAATAAAAGTAGTGTCGATGGCGAATAAACATATAACGTAGGCCTATATTTATTTGATTTAATATTCGTCGAGGCACGATACCGCGCTATAAATTCCTAGCTCATTACCGAATATAGATATATATGTATATACGAATATAAATGTATGTATAGAGATGGATGTAGATGTAATCTGCAGATATAAACGTATTATAGATGTAGATGTAGATGAATATGTAGATGTAGACGTAAATGTAGATGTATAATATGTATATGTAGCTGTATATGTATATGTAGCTGTATATGTAGATGTAGCTGTATATGTATATGTAGCTGTATATGTAGCTGTAGATGTAGATGTAGGTGTAGATGTAGATGTAGGTGTAGATGTAGATGTAGATGTAGATGTGAATGCAGATGTAGATGTAGATTTAAATATAAATGTAAACTCAGTTACAGATTAAAATCCAAATATTGCAATAAAAATACACAAAAAACAAACATAAACTTAAAATTTATATTTAAAAAAACCCGCGACTCGATTTAGTAAGCGCGTTTCAAGCAGGAAATTCTTGAATCAATTACTTGGACGCACGGAATCCAAGCGCAAATGCATTACATTATATAGATGGTGCTTTGCCAGTGCCATACCAGCCGTGCGCACTCGCCCTGCACGACTTTCCAATTTGTATTTAGTAGGTCTCAGGGGAGAGATAGTGAATATAGAAATAAGTTGTGGATATAGAAATCAGTTAACCCTAACCCTAATCCTAACCCTAACCCTAACGCTATCCTTAATTCTAAAATAAAACAAAATTAGCCAAAAATAATAAACAATAAAATAAATAAGAGGCAAAATTAGCCAATCAAAGCCGTGCCCTAGCGGATCGCTATCTCTCCCTTGTGCAAAATTTATTTTTATTTAGTTTGAGCATTTGCTAATATGACTTCCAACAATACGCGACTGCGCGATGACGTTGATACTCGTACTGGTGTGACAGTGATGCGCATAATATCACCACGACGTTTATTAAACCGCCACGTATTTTGCATTTCACGTGAAGCAAGCAAGCTATATTCGACAGACCTTCCGCGTCTTGTGATTGCGGAGCTGCGGCTCCCGGCTCCTTATTGGCAACGTTACTCGCCAGGCGCGATCACGCTCGCGACTCACTACCGTACAGTATGCTGCGATATGTTGTGTATGTTTTGTATGTGTGTGGTGTGGTGTGTGTGTGTGTGTGTGTGTGTGTGTGTGTGTGTGTGTGTGTGTGTGTGTGTTGTTGTGTGTTCTGTGTATTGTGTGTGTGTGCAGGGGGCGTAGATAGCGGGGGGGCGGGGGTGCGCACTTTTGGACGTGGGGGGATGGCGTGTACAATCATCCCCCCTACTTGCAGGAGGACAATGGGGATGTCAAATTTTCTAGGGGAGGACCCGCATATATCCACGCTGTTTCTTACCACCTCTCTTCGAAAACCTGTCATTGTCCACTGTCGAGCGTAATTCAAAATTGAGCACCACCACTAAAAAAAATCGTTCCGCGGCGCCTGTAGAGTACTGCTATAAAGATTAATGATCTATGAATATTTGTAGTGCATATCAAAAGTCTAATTGAGTTCATACTGCAGGGGCGTAGATAGCGGGGGGATGGGGGTTATTCCCCGCACACTTACTTGGAGATGGGGTGGCTTTCACCCGCTACTTTCAGAAGAAACATGGGGGAAAAATTTAAGATTTTACAAAAATAAATACTGGATATTAATCTACAATCCGTGCACCCTATTCATACTTCCTAAATTGTATTATGTACAGAAATGACGTGACATCACCTGTAAAATAGGCGGTAACTCGTTCCAAAGAATAAAACTTATGTTACTGAAATCTCAGACGGTTAATTTGGACGCATTCTCCATATATACGATTTTTTCTAAATTTCCTCAGTCTTATTACTGCTCACGAAAGTAAATCCTGGCTTTATTCAAGAAATTAGAATAGACCTATTAGATGGGGATATTGCATTTTCCAGTTGAATAGAAAAATTTCCATTTCATCTTGCGCTTTTTTTTTTGGGGGGGGGGGGGTGGTGGTGCTGGAGACCCGACGCTGGGAAGTATATTCCCGATTCGTATAAAGGGTGAAAATAGCACTTTTTTTGGTTCAATTCTGGTTGTTTTTCTCATATTTTTTGGTAGTTTTAACAGTTGCTCACTAAAATATACGTTTATCAAAATTTCAGGGGGAGATGATTTCCAGTGCTCTAGTCGTCAACGGGGTTTGGCAGCACGGGGGGTGGGGGGGGCTGGGGGGGGGGCCCCCCCTAGAATTTTCAGGCAAAGGTATTTTAGCCTAAGTAAGTCTGCACTGGTAACCCCAGTGAGGACATGTACATAGGACAAATTTGTAGTAAGTATTTTAGTCTTTGGTCCAAAGGTAAATATACTCACATCAACAGTGATGTTATTGTGATGAGATTTGTTTCAATAGTGCTCCTCAATAGTGCAAAAAGAAATTGCATCGAAGAGGTGTTCTTTTCACACAAATCCGCGACGCCCCCCCCGCTAAACAGGAGGGGACACGCCCTGAAGGAGGAAAAATCTGAATTTCATGATAAAGAGTCCAAAATTGAATTGCCTTTAGATTGCAACTTTTTAATAATTCCACACAGTGGAGGCTGACCCCCCCCCCCGGGAAGCTTCGTGCCCTTGAGCTCGATGATTCCCCCCACTCAGAATTTTCATTTTTTTTTGTTTGGCGGATCCCACTGGTTGTGTGTGTTGTGTGGGGGGGGGATGCGTGTTATTAAACCTCTGAATGCCAAAGAAAAAAATAACCTAGAATTCACAAATTGCAACTTACAATATCAATTTTTTCAACTCTCAAAGATCGCCATCTGAAGTTCTAATTCTAAAGCCCAAGAGCTCCGGGGGCTCCGGCCCCTGGACTTCCGGCAAAGGCTTCTTCCGCCTGCCAGGGCCCATACGAGGGGCCCCTGACCCACCTCATTCAGGGCTTTGCGCCAAGGCGCTCGCGTTTGCGCTACCTCGCCGCACACTCTTCATTCGCACACAGCGAAATCATCCCCCCGCCCCCAACTGAGGACTGTCTACGCCACTGTTGTCTGTGTGTGTGTGTGTGTGTGTGTGTGTGTGTGTGTGTGTGTGTTTGTGTGTGTGTGTTTGGTATTTGTGTGTGTGTGTGGTGTGTGCGTGCGTGCGTGCGTGCGTGCGTGCGTGCGTCGCGTGCGTGCGTGGTGCTGTGTGTGTGGGTGTGTGTGTGTGTGTGTGTGTGTGTGTGTGTGTGTGTGTGTGTGTGTGTGTGTGTGTGTGTATGTGTGTGTGTGTGTGGTTTCCGATCTATGTGTCTGATAAACTCATCGTTGAGCCGAACGCATGCATTCACCTCTACAGACTCTATCTACGTTGATGATATCATTAGCTATAAACTCTCGTTCGCCATTCGGCGTTTCTTCCGACGAAGATGACGATGGTGAACATTAGAAGTGGGTTTCCCCCTCAGAGACTGAGTCGTTGCTGGAACGTTGATTTTGGCCTTGCTGCTCTTCTATCTTTTTCTGCTCTGCTTCCTCTATCTTTTTTTGCGTTCTTGCCCGCTCACTAAAACATTATTAATAATCATGCCATCAAGTATTAGACTAATAGAACGATCAGCTAGTGTTATTAAATAATTAGAAATATTGATATAAGTATAGCTAAATAGTATGTGTGTGTGTGTGTGTATATGTGTGTGCGCGCGTTGTTGTTTTTGAGAGTTTATTTGTGATAAAATGAAGTGGCTCATACCTGCGGACAATTCTGTAGCAGACGATGAAGAAGGCAATGTTACTAATAATGGCAATCAATGCTACTATCAGTATCATCCAAGAAGCTCCTGAAATTGTAGGTGACAACAATATATTGAACCAACAATGGATGTTTACCTAGTAAACTCACACTGCGCAAATCCACTTTAGGCACCTTAGGTATCACGAAGTGATGCACAGATTTCTGTGTATCATCAACTGATGCACAGATTTCTGTGTATCATCAACTGATGCACAGACGTTCCGTATATCAAGGAGTGATGCAAAAACCCTAACCCTAACCCTAACCAGTAACCCTAACCCTAACCAGTAACCCTAACCCTAACCCTAACCTTAACACACTTCGTGATACTTAAGGTTATACGTTATGACTTAGGGTTAGGGTTAGGTTTTTTGCATCATTCTTTGATATACGGAACGTCTGTGCATCAGTTGATGATACACAGAAATCTGTGCATCACTTCGTGATACCTAAGGTGCCTAAAGTGGATTTGCACCAACTCACACTGCCACCAAGTGTAGCGCGAAACAGCAGGAATTAACATTCGTAATTAACAAAAATAGTAAATTATAATCAACGTCTTATTTTTAGAGAGCACCTCCGGCAGGAACATGTATAGATGAAAATAAAACTCAGCCGTAGTCTTTGCACTAGCTATCACATGTCAATTCTCAACAACGTTAATGAATTGATATAGGGAGAGGGAGAGACGAGACATGCAGCAATTACTAGTAGCAGATAGGCAAATAGGCATACATACATACATTCATGAATACATACAGGCATACATACACGTACGCGTACGCGCATGCAAGTACAGATACATTACAGATGCATCACATTACGTTACATTACATAGCAACAAAGCAAGGGAGGACTCTTACATTACATACATTACAGATACATTACATAGCATCAAAGCAAGGGAGGACTCAGACTGGCGGATGTATAGAACGTAATGTTGGTAAAATTAAAAATTAAAATAATGTATAAACTCTGGCCATGCATATAGGCTGGATATATTACCTTCGACTGGCCCTGGAGTGGATGTCCCTGGTTCACCAGTGGAATTATAGTCACCAGTGTAATTATAGTCACCAGTGTAATTATAGGTGGTTGATTCCGTTGTTAGATTTGTGAAATTACTGTCAGGTGTAGTATTACTAGTAACATTCGCCATGTTCCTTTGGTACACGTACTTTCACTGTGCGTAGTTCACATACCTATATAATATATATATATCCGACGTATCAAGTTTATATAAACATAGAGACAGCACGGTACTGTTGATAAACTAATAACGCCCGATAAAAGTGGGTTAACATCCGTTAACGCCCGTGAAAAGTTACATACAAGGTATCGTGGTGAGAAGTCGACTTGCACGTCAGTGGTCGCAGAGAGTACGGTAGGTCTGTACTGTCTGTACTGTCGTTGACCTTTAACCAGGATATCTTGTATGTAACTTTTCAGTTCCTCGTAGGCCCCCTAACTGCGAATCAACATAACTGATTCGAGCTGATAACACGGAAGAACAATCCAGATATATGCTGTATGACCGCATAATGGCTGCTATACCACGCATTACATAAACCTTGATATATATATATATATATATATATATATATATATAT